TGGAAGAAGCACACCAGCCTGTGTGATTAGGAGGTGTCAAAGGGATCAGATATCAGGCATCAAAGAACAAAAAATCATATCATTGTGAATGAGGGTGAGTGCGGAGTGGTGACCCAAAGCCCATCTGTAGGCAACTGGACATACCCAGGGTCTTGGGGAGGAGACGAACCAGTCAGGGTGCAGTGTAGCAACAATGAAACCTATAACTTTCCTGTAGTTCCTAAATGGTTCCTTCCCCACCCACCCTCACTATCATGATCCCAATTCTACCTTACAAATCTGGCTAGAGCAGAGGATGTACACTGGTACAGATAGGAACTGGAAACACAGAGAATCCAGGACGGATGATCCCTTCAGGACCAATGGTGAGAGTGGTGATACCGGGAGGGTGGAGGGAGGGTGGGGTAGAGAAGGGGAACTGATTACAGGGATCCAAATATAACCTCCTCTCTGGGGGACAGACAACAGAGAAGTGGGTGAAAGGAGACATCGAACAGTGTAAGATATGACAAAATAATAATTTATAAATTATCAAGGGTTCATGAGGGAGGAAGGTGGAAAAATGAGGAGCTGATACCAAGGGCTCAAGCAGAACACAAATGTTTTGAGAATGATGAAGGAAACAAATGTACAAATGTGCCTGACACAGTGGATGTATGTATGGATTGTCATAAGAGTGTATGAGGCCCCAATAAAATGATTTTTTTTAAAAGAACAAAGTGTTCTTCCTTTGAGGGAGAGCTTGAGCAGAGGCCCTAAGTCTGTCCACAACCTCAGTGTATTGCCATATAAATATACGTAAATGGGCCAATACCTCTATTTTATGAATTAATGTATTAACATATGTACACACCTATGCTTATACCGCTATCCATAGCTTTGCTTCCTAGATTGTTCCGGTTTCCTATTACCTTCCTCCTGCCCCACCATCATGCTCACCCTTCTTCCGCCTCTTAATAATTCCTCCCAGCAAGATTGCTGTTGCTCCAACACCCTCAGGATCTCTATATCCTCCTTGTTGTTGATTTTAATTCCTTAGTTTTCCCATCTCTGGCATTGTTTGCTCACCTCTCCCTTCCCCCGCCACGTCCTCCCCCTCAGTTCCTTGGGAACATTCGAACCCATTGCTTTCTCCTCAGGCATGCTTCCCATTTCTAACTTATATAGGTAGAAGAACCAACAATAACATAGACAATACAAATAGAAACCAAAAATTTGAATAAAAAGAGAAACAAAAATGAAATTAAAAAAAATATATATATATATATAAAGAAAAATAGTAATAACTAGCAAAAACATAAAACCCAAGAAAGCATAGATAATTCCAGGTCTAATTTATACAGTGATTTCTTCTATGCTGTATGTTTAGTCTATTGATTAATTTCTAAATATTAAATTTTTCTATTTACCTCTGTGGAGAAGTAAAATTTCTTGATATGGCTCTTCAATCTATAATCCCTTTTGGGATGTATTGAAAATTCTAACCTCTATGCCTATGGTTACAGGCATTTTGGAGAGAGTTCTCTGTTATGCTAATGGACAAGACTAAAATGAGATGTATTCTTGGTTTCTCCTGTACTAGAAAAGAGCCCTAGTGGTGTATAGGTTGCATATTGGGCTGCTAGCCTCAAGGCCAGCAGTTCAAACCACCAGCCACTCTGTGGGAGAAAGGTGAAGCTTTCCACTCCTATAATGAATTAGACTCTCAGGGGGCAGTTCTACCCTGTCCTATAGAGTTGCTATGAGTTAGAATAGACTCAATGGCAGTGAGGTTTTTTTTTAACCTTACTAGATTATGTGAGCCAAGTCTACCCTTTGTTCCCTTCTGGGTAGGGTCTGCTGAAAGACAAGATCCACACCTCCATCAAAGCCACTCCTCTATGTATAACAGAGCTATCTCAGAAGCAGGAAGACAAAGCATCCCAGGACCACCAGGAAAGAAAAGCCACCCATCAAGCATCTGTAAACTATCTAAAATGGCATAGGCTGAGATCAGAGGCACCAGAGCTTGTGGTGCAGAGACCATGTGATCGAGCAAAGGAGCCAGGCTGAGATCAGAAGCCTAGGCAAAAAGACTATGAGGTAGAACAGAGGCGCAGCCCCAAGGCTATGAGCCTGTGAGGTAGAACAGCAGGATGGCTTCCTGGAACACAGAGGTTGAGGCCAAGGGACCACATGGCTGACAGCTGAGGACCAGAGAGGGAGACGTGACTGCTGGATGAGGAAAGGTGCTGCTGTGGACTAGTTGGCTGATCCTGACTGTGGTCCCCTGCTCACTTGCCTAATACACTCCCTTAATTGTGAGTGTCCTCTGTGAGCTCTGTGTGGCCATTGCAGCCTTGTGGGAGGAATGGTTGGTGTCCGAATTTGGTAAAGAAAGATGGAGGCTACATAGAGGTATGTGTGATGTGTTGGGCTGGTGGGGAGTGGGATCTTCTTTCTCCCTGTGTAGCTGGGGGAGGTCAGGTGTGGCCTCCAGTCATCTGCACAACCTCTCAACTTTTATTTAATAGCGTAATTATCCTTATCATGCACAATATTCTTGATAATATCAATCATGTGAAGTTTGTTGAGACGTTCTTTATATCCCAACATATTAGCCAATATGGGAAAATGCTCCACATATGGTTGCGGAATGCAATATTTTGCATACAGTTGGCTTTTGTTATTCACAGTAGTCACGGTGAAGATTAAATGAGTGAATACTAACCCAGCCTCATCCAACTTCAGCTGGGAACATGTGCATTGGGCAATTCAAGTTTTTTACTGCTCTGTGCAACACATGTCTGGGAATGATGGAAGCACCGTATTAATTTAGGGGTTACAAGTAATGCTTAGCAAAAGTTCACAAATACAGATTCTGTGAATAATGAGGATCAACTCCACAACAATCAGGTCAAGTTTGTCAATATTGTTCAAATTTGCCTTATATTTGGCTTTTTTTAAATTAAAAGATCGTTTTATTGGGGGCTCTTACAACTCTTATTACAACTCATGCATCAATTATATCAGGTATATTTTGTATTGTTCTTTTCTAGACATTTACTTTTTATTAAGCTCTTGGTATCAGCTCTTCTTTGTTTCCTCCCTCCCCCAACCCTCGTGGCCCCTTGATAGATTATAAATTATTATTATTTTCATATCTCGCACAAACTGCTGTCTCCCTTCCCCCATGGTTTCTGTTGTTCTTCCCCCTGGAGGGGTGTGTGTGGTTATGTATCGATCATTGCGGTTCCCCTTTCCTCCCATTTCCTCCCCCTTCCCCCTACCCTTCTGGTATCGCTATTCTCATTCCTGTTCCCGAATTCTGTGTCATGATCTATTATCTCTTATCTGTACCTGTGTACATGCTCCGGTCTACTTCAGAGTGAGAAGCAACACTGGGGTCATGATAGTGGGGGCTGAGGAAGCCTCAAGGAACCAGAGGAATATCGTGTCTTCCATCATTGCTTTACTGCACCCTGGTTGACTCATCCCTTCCCTGCAACTCCTCTG